AATCTCTGACCTATGAACTTTTTTCTGTCTTAAATCCACTTATCTGAAAGAAGAAAAAAATGAAAAGGGTCTATCTTTAAAATTTAATGGTTTGTTTGAGCAAAATTATTTTGTAAGAATGTATTTTGAAATAGGAAATTAATAGAGAATGTGTGATTGAAAAAGAAGGAAAAGTTAATGATGTGATGAAAAATTTTATTTTATTAAAAAATGTGTAGTTTAAAATGAGAATGTGAATTTTAATGTGGCTCAAATAGGGGCTAATTTTGAAATACCTTCTCAATTTTTTTCTTTTGATTTCTTCTTTTCTCCGTTCTCTAATTGTGATCAAATACAGAAGCGGTTGAAACAACTTAAAATGTGTAAAACCTTTGAATGAAGATTAAGAGCAATTATCATCGAAATAAATATGTTAATAATTACTAATACTTAGTATATAATTATTCTGATAAAGTTAATGACATCGGTATCCATGAACATAAGGAGAAGGAACTTGAAAGACACACTTTGATATTTGGAAAGAACCACACTTAACAAATCTGATGCTCGGTATCGTGTTGAATTTTGTATTTCATCGAGTAAACAAAGAAAATGAAGTAACTCTTACATGCGCTTCAACAATATACGCTAGAAGCATTTTATCCACACTTTTATGTGAGATCACTATGTAAGTTTTAATTTAAAGACAAGCAATACATAATATAATTTTTAAATTATGTTAATAACAATCTATTTCAACAACAAATCGATGAATAGCGTTATACGTATGTTTTAGTCGGTAAGGCCCTTCAATTTTTAAATAAAATTGAGGTCAAGACCTGACTCAAGTGATACGTAAATTTTTTTTTTTTAAATCTGCAATTTCTAGAAAAGTTTTAGAGTGATAATGGGTATTTCAATAAGTGTCACGTAATTTGCTATCTAGTGAATCTTCATTTTTTCTTGAATTCAATCCAATTCAAATTTATTTGAATTGGCCTCAACAATTAAAGCTAACTATCAATTAAATTTTTAATCATTTAATTAATTTCGTGGGTATTGTGCTTCCCAATAGTACTTTGTTCATATAAGGCCATTTTGTAAACAAGAGAATTTATTTTAAAGCACTTATTAAGGGTGAGATAAAGCTTTAAAAAAAATCATTTTTCACGTTTCTTTGTAATTTTTTACTATTTTTAACTACACATTAAAAATGTAATTTTTAAAAAATAAAATCAAATGATAATTTGTTAAGAGACAGTTATCTGTTTATTTTCTAGAGTTCCTTCACGTGGTCTCATCAGTTGCCTAATACATGAAATTCCATAATTGATAAATGCGATACTTGAATTCAAAAATTTTGTGCACCTTGTCGAATCACTTCAATCAAAAGTTCATGATTTTTCTTTTTTTTTTTAAAAAAAAAAAGAGAGAGATTTTTGTTGATTTTTATTGTGAAAAGAATTGAATTAAAATTAGATTTGGACCTCAAATCTAGTGTCAAATGTAATTTGTTTGATCATATGTTTGATAAATTTATCAGTGAACTCTCTTTGCCTTTAGATATTTCCATTGACAAAGAGAAATCACCAACAAAATTGGTTATTAAAATCCCACCAACAATTTAATTAATTCTTGTTTATAATTGTTTGCTAATATGCTATGCTGATTTTGTGTAATCATGTCGATCAAGGCAACGGGAGGAAAAAAATAAATAAAGCAAGTAAAAAAAATTAAATAAAGAATCTCAACAAATAGGAAGGAGGGCATATCTTCATCATGAAGGGGCCCAAATAATTCATTTAACATCCAAATTATCACAATCATCTCCGGGTTAGAATGCCAATACAGTGAAATTAATATCCAATGGAGCCCGATTAGTTGTTGGGTTAATACATCTCACCTTTTTCCTACCTAATTATCCAAATAGAAATTCTCTTTCGCTCATGTTTCTCTTTCTTCTCATTATTTTCTTTCTTGCGAGTGTAAGCTATCCCTGTTTTAAGAAGGCCACCCATCTCTGGAAATTATAGAGTGCGAAACGACCCAAATAGAAATAGTTATTTTTTATATCATGGGGTCTTCAACTTCGATTCATTATGCTCGGAAGCTCCAAAAAGCCTAAATTCTCTTGTCGTCTCTGACAAGATGCTATTGTACATCATATCAAAAAAGAAGAAAAAAAAAATAGTGATTTTTCGATATATAGTTAAAAATTTGTAATTAAATTTTACTCATTTTTACCAACTTTTCATTTTTTTACCATATTTGAAGGGGGGATTCTTCTTCAAACTAGACCAACAAACCGGTAACCTGACCCAAAAGTTTATCTCTGGAATCATTTGAAAAGGAAGGGTAGGGATCCAACGTGCCAATTGGACTCGAACTTTTGGCTCCATACATTTCAAACTTCCAAGTTCCAACGGTACACAACTCCATTTAGTAATATTTATTTGGCAAATATTATTATATCAAATAAAACTAGCATATTATACAAGATTTTATTTTAATTAATTATAATTATTTAAAAATAATGTCTCGTATATTAAGTGGACAAAATTTTTTAAAAAGGACTTTTCATAACAAAGTAAAATATGATGAAGCGGCGATAAAAAATCGTCAATTAAAAAAATGGAGTAAAGAGCCAAAAGAAAATTGAGCACGACAACGTGATCTTTAAAAAAAAAAACTCTTTATTGAAATTAAAATAACAAGCTTACTTATCAATTGTCACGTGTGAACCCTTTTTTTAATGTCTTGACACGTGGGATATTGGCCTGATTCCCAATTCAAATACAATTTGATCCCCAAAATTTAATCCACCGTGACGGCTCCGTTAAAACAGTCGAGAAATCTTTATTTCTTGGGTCCAAGGAACGTTAAGACCTTTCGGGGCCTTTTTATTCAACACCTGATTCTCTCTCCGCACTGCATTAAAAAACCTCCTCTGAATTTTGAATTCCAGCCACGAGAAGCTTTTTTCGATTTTAATTTTTCAGTTCAGATCGAATCGAATCCAATCCAAAGTCAGTTTTTCAAAACACAGATCACATTCGCCGGATATTTGATCGCCGGAAATTCAAAAAACTCCCCGCCGGCAGCCCGCTCTTCTCAAACAGTCAAATATAAGGTAACTTCATTTACTTTTTTCACTTTCCAGAGAATTTTCAAATGGCGATCAAAGTCTCCAGTTTCTCTCCGCTTTGGTTTTGTCGCTCAGATTATTTTTTCTGGCATTTTATAGTGATGTTTCAAGAATCCTTCTTGTGTAGTTTTGAACTATCTATGACTATCAGGGAATCAGCTGTGCACATCTTTTACAAACCCGCAATCTTACTCTCACTCCGCACTTCATTGATATTGAATCCTACCTACATCGTAAAAAAAACGTTGAAATAAAATTTAAATAAATAAACGTGTCTTATTAATTAATCTTTTAAATAAAGTGGTTTAACAATGTATCATTTTCATTCCTGCCATCATACTTCTATGATTATTTTTTGGTATACGTTTGCGATTTGTACTTAGATTGGAAATCATTCTACTTGGTAGACAGAAGAGACTGCAATGCCACAAGAAAGCAACAATCGAGTATTCAATACTCCTTGCAAGAGTTTGAGAGGACTAAAGGGCTTGATCTACGATGCCAACGACGCTTCTTTTTCCGATGAAATTATCGATGATCGCGAATTGGCACATAGAAAAGCAGAAGAATCAGGTAACATCACCACATGTCTAACAGCAACTATATCATTCAATTGATCTTATAGAACAACGGGTCATTAGGAAGTTACTCGTGAATATACAATTCCAACAACAATAAAGTTAAAGATCATGCAACATATAATAATGGAATGTAGCTAGGCCGATCGTTTAATATAAATGTGTCAAGTGTTGGTGGTATCCGACTACTAATCACATTATGGCCGACCTCATTTATTGCACATTTGATTTAAAATTGCGTTAGGCACTTTTGATTTAAAATTGCACATTTTAATGATTACATTAGGCACCACCAAACCTAGATCCGGGCAGGAAAAGTTTTTAAAATTGCATTCCTCTATAGGACCTCAACGACAACGTGTGCATCACCTAGGGTGTTAATTAAGACAAATAGCTCGCCTCACTAACTAGCCAAACACAAATTTATCCTGTTAGCTCGATGCGGATCAGCTCAACTTGCCCTAGGAATGGACGAGTTTGTAAGAGTCGAGCTGCACTTTGATAAAGTAAGTCAACTCGCTCATTTAGGGACCGTTTGATTCTTATTATCATAGAATGAAAATGAAAAATATAACCGTTATTAGACCCCACACAAGAAATAAAAATTCAAAATTGAAACCCCCTATTGGAAGTGTCATTCGAGATTTCAACGTCAAACATACAAGTAACTAAGCTAGTGTTTGGCCCCCATTATTTAAAAAGAATTAATTTTAAAATAATGATTGATGAGAGAATACGTGGTGAAAAAGCGATGAACAGTTTTAAATTTGTGAATAATATTATTTTATTTGAAAAATATATGATTGAAAATAAGTACTGTAAAAAAATAAATGAAGAAAAAAAAAAGGGGCTAAACGTGGGATAAATTGATAATTATTTTATGATTGGGTTGTTAAACCATTAAATATTCAGTGCACAGTAAAATAGCAATGATGGATATTTGCACTAAAATAAGGTAAGAATTGATGATATAGATCAAAGTGGATGGGCACTGATTTAAAGATAAATTAAGAATAAAAAACTTAAGAGTTGAGAGCCTGTGATTAATTCTTAAATAAATTTGTATGATACCAAGCTCATCTTGCATTTCTATGATAAAAGAAATAAGTTCAACAAGTTTTGAGAGCCTGAGATTTATTCCTAAATGCTAAATTGCTCTAAAGTGAAATTCAGCTAAAATTACAGAAAATAATTGCGAGAAATTACGGAAACATCATAGTGAAATTCCAAAACAGATCCATACATTCACCAAATTTACACAAATTGCATTAACACGAAACCCTAATTCCCCTCAACTCTTAGCCACCGAACCCATATAGAGTACGGCCTTGCCTCTTGAGAGCGTAAACAACGTCCATGGCCGTCACTGTCTTACGGCGAGCGTGCTCAGTGTAGGTAACAGCATCACGGATGACATTCTCCAGGAAGATCTTGAGCACACCGCGTGTCTCCTCGTAGATGAGTCCACTTATACGCTTAACACCGCCACGACGAGCCAGCCGCCGGATCGCCGGCTTAGTGATGCCCTGAATGTTATCCCTCAGGACTTTCCGATGACGCTTGGCGCCGCCCTTTCCCAATCCTTTGCCTCCTTTTCCCCTTCCTGACATTTTTGCTTCCGAGAATTTGAATTGATTAATAATTGTTTTGTTACAGTTTTAAGCGAGATGGGGTAAATATAGGAGGAGTATCGGGTTACGGAGTAAGTGACGACCGTTGGATTTGATTTTTAATCAACGGCAGGAGATAGGGATCCTTGTCAGATGAATTGGATGGTGATAAGCCGTTGATTAGAAAGGAATCTACGGTGTATGTCAGTTTAACTTGGTGGAGCGGATCGTAGTTATATTCGCGCTCAAAATTTCTGGATTAGTAAAACAGAAAAAATAGAAATTATAATATCATATGAATCAAGTTAAAAAAAAAAAAAAAAAAAACCCCACAAATACAATACAGGAGGATATTATTTTAGAAAAAAAAAAATGGAACTTGGCTGTTTGGTGTTGCTAAAAATTGGTACATCCACATACAGTGAAAAAGTAGATAAAGTCTACTGAAAATGTAAAGTTAAAATGAAGTTTGACTAGATTTGACCAAAATGTTAGCATAGGCTCGCTTGGCCTTTTAATAACATTTTATGTTTTTTCTACGCTTAAACCCGTTTAGACTCGTAAAAGTTTGAAACTTGATTTTTTTGTCAAGCTTTATGCATTTTCAATTTCGACTTATCGTTAGACGATTTAGTTGGCTTCTCGATGAACCTAAGTAGTCAATTTTGGTTCAAGTTTAGGGTATACCTCGATAATAATAAAGTGTCGAGGGTCAAAAAGCTGAAATCCAGCCATATGTTAAATCATATGATGGTGGGAGTAATGGGAATAAGACCATGTTTTGTTTTATTATATTATTGTTTTAATTTAAGTTTGATCATAAATTTTCTAGTTATCGGCATGTGTTGGGAAGATTACTTGTCTGAAAAATCAAGTTTTGTTAGTATAAAAATGTAATTTTGAAAGTTATGAGCATGTTTGGGTGTGAATTGCTTATAAATACGTTCAATAAGTAACTTAAAAATAAGTTCGACTTACATTTATGCACAGTCAAACGCATTGATAAGGTTCAAAACTTGCTTCCAAAACTGAAAAATTATGGAGCTATTAACAATTCTGTTGTGTTAGTTAGGTCTTCTATCAAACACTAAGGATGCGTTTGATTACGAGCAAGAAATTTACATGAAAACAAATAAATTCTAGACAATTTCGAAATTGTTAATTAAATATGTTTTATTGATTTAATTTTCAATTTAAAAAATATTATACTTGTATATTTTTTACTGGTGCGTGGATAAGAGAGAGGGAGAGGAGAGACGAGGGAGAGAAAAAGATAGTCAAATGAAAAATAAAAACCATCATTCTCTAAGGAATTTTTTTTTTTTTTTTCAAGAAAAATACGATGACGTGATCAAAAGGAAGGAAATGTTTTTCGTAAAAGAAATTGTAAATCAAGTAACACATAAATATTAACAATCAAACCCACAAACCGCAATTTCACTGAGGGGTTTAATATGTTTGTAAACCAACCTTACAGCTGCAAGGCGGTTCCAGGCTGCGCAGTGGCTACGCCAGATGGACTATGGTGCATCCGAAATGCTTCCAAACGAGCCCAGGGAGGAGGAATTCTGCCTCGCCCTCCGCAATGGCCTCATTCTATGCAATGTCCTCAACAAAATCAATCCTGGAGCTGTACACAAGGTAGTATTATCCATATAGCTATGTACATATCTGTGCATATTTGCTCTTCCATTTTCTCCTTTCTAGAGCTGCCGTAAGGTTTGTACTGATTTTTTCTTCTTTTAATGTGAATGAAATGTAGGTGGTAGAAAATCCAGTGCTGGACGTGCAGGCAACGGAAGGTGCGGCCCAATCTGCTATTCAGTACTTCGAGAACATGAGGAATTTTCTTCTGGCCGTTGGCAAAATGAAGCTCCTCACTTTTGAAGCATCCGATCTTGAAAAGGTCATTACTTTAAGTTCACTGGTTGCTTCTTTTACTCTGTTTTTCCCACATGAAACAATGATATCTGTGAGTTATATGTGAATCCTGTGAAGAAGTGTCAAGTGAAAGAATAAAATTGAGATGCAAATAATGAGAATTTGTATAAATTTTGCGAAAATGAGATGACATTTATCTTTTATATAGGGCTGCAAATATTGTGAACGTAAAGTGTGTAATATGAGATCCTATGGTTTATCGATAAATTGTTCAGATATTCCTGTAGCCAACTTGGCAAAGAGTGTTCGTATTGAATTAAACTTGTTGTACACACTTGATGTACATGAAGTTTGATACTCCATGTATTGTCAAAATCTGTGACATTGATTATTTAAAGTGTTTTTAAAATCAATGTGTAAAAAGTTGTCACCTCACAATTACGTCAAACTTAATGTCAACAAAGATGTACATGTAGCATGATTGACTCGTTGTTATATGAGGTAATGTACCAACTCACTTTTATTAAATCTTTTATTTCACATTCTGTCTACTCTCTCCTGTTACTGTACATTAGCAAACCAATTGCTGTAGTCACTTATGTATATTGGTCCTTTTCTGTTCATTACACTTTCTTAATAATCATTCGACATTGCAACTTGACTATCTCCAATAATATTAATAAAACTCCCAAAATATTCAATCCTCAGGGAGGATCGTCGAGCAAAGTTGTGGACTGCATTCTGTGTTTAAAAGGCTATTATGAGTGGAAGCAATCTGGAGGAATTGGAGTTTGGAGATACGGTGGAACCGTGAGAATTACGTCGTTTCCAAAAGAATCGTCGTCCACTTTAATAGGCAATGAAAGTGCTGAAGAATCACTAGATGATTCTGAATCATCGCAATATGAACAACTCCTGGAATTCTTCAACTTATCTACCGAGATCTCTCTCGAGGAATCCAAAGCAGACAATGTACTCAGCTGTATCTTTGATCATTTTAGTCTCTGTCTTCTACGGGCTTATCTGACAGAAAGCAATGAATCTGAAGACTTGCCTTTGAATCCAATGGTAGGTAAGATCATCTTCTGTGTATTGCATGATCATGTACTAATGGGTTTGTGGTACTGAAATTACAAATGATTTCTTAAAGAGCAATATTTGGAATTTCTACGTACACTAAATGGATTCTAGAAAGCTTAATTATTAATGAAATTTCAAACACTCACTACTGTGAGCAAATTTGTTTTTACAACATCTTTAATGACAGTAGTTTGAAGAATAACGTAAAAAACAAGATGCATCTTCATGCCTTTATGAGTCGTAAGTGTGAAGCACAGAGCTGTAAGATCATATCAAACTTAAAATTCTTGACTTGGGATCATTATTTTAGTAACTCTGATTCTAGTGTCTAGTTACCACCGTAAGTCTTTTTCTGTTACTTTGCAATCTTAAAAACCACTACTTTTATCTTCAGATTTTGGTTCCAGAAGTGCGCCGTTGTGACTCCAGCTAGTTATACTGTTAATATGTCACGATGAAGGATCTTCATAACAAATTACTGTGTTTTATATGCATTTTCAAAGTCGTATTACTGTCTTATGCTGTCATTGTGGAAATATGTAGGTCATTGATATATTAATGAAAAAGGTTGTTAAAGATTTCTCAGCACAGTTGATTTCTCAAAGAAATCAGGTATTTGCAATCACGGCATTTTGTAATATCTACTAATCCTGAATTACATTAGTACAAATTTTGCACCATTGCCAATTACAATGAAATAACATTTTTTAATTGCCTACAGCTCGGATTGTTTTTGAAGAAACTTCTGATTACCAATGAAATTCCTCTATCAAAATCTCAATTCCTCAAAGCCATATCAGAGTACCTTAATAAAAGAACCAGCCTTGTATCGAGTGACATTTCAAAATTCTGCATTTGTGGTGGAAAAGGTGAAGGAACAGGGCGTAAAAATTCCTCCTCTTCTGGCAGTGCGGTACTACTTGATCTTCAACAGAAGCAGCTGGAGGTGTGACCCTCAACTACTGCATCTTAAGTACTCTTTGTATCTCTCCCTGTTTCCTCAAACTAATTAAGCGATAGAAAGTAGAATCCTCTTGTTTCATTTGTTCAATTATAGACTTAACTGAAGCGTATAGAATCGAACATTTTATTTTTTGCACCAGTAGATTCCACAACTCCACGAAATATCTGAAATGGAATACTGTAGCTATTGAGAGCATCGATTTGATTCCCATGATAAGAGTGAATTAAGGAGTGACGACATTTTGTTTACCATGGAGGAGAATCATAGATGTTTCTGATGTCACATGCATCTCTCAGTGTAGAGAATAAACACAACGCACATAAAGCAAACTAATCTGAATTTTTCTATTGAAGCCATGTTTTAAAAAGCATACTATTAAGACTTGGGGACACCAATTTTGAAATTCATGTGCTTGTTTGATTCTTAGTCGGATCAAATTGCTCGTTTGAATATAATGGCCTTTGATACCATACTTCGGTTTATATTTTAAAAGTCAACCTAGTTAAGAGGAATAATCCAAGCCCTTATATGTTGGTTAATATTTTGGTATTTAACCCATGTGGGATTTATCCCTTAACATTTACTCCCTCTGATGCTGATGTGCTGGTCTATGTGTGACAGCAGATGATCCTTACCTCTTTGGCAGCACAGCTTCTGCTTCAATACCATAGTTTCTTATATGCCTTTTGTTTCTGTACGTGGAAATTCTATTCTGAAGCTTATGAAATTAACTTCTTGACTTGATATATTACATTTTAGGATCTCAAATACCTCTTTAGAGATACGAAACAAACAGTCCGACAGGTTCGATTTGAATGGGAGGAAGAACTTCTCAGCCTGGGTGAGACAGAAGAGTTATTTAGTGCATGGAATGCTAGGTTTTTGTTTTACTTTGTTTATCAGCATCTTGTCTAAACTAATCATGACCGATATTTTTAACAGGGAATCATGTAAAGGGCCTTGAAGTGGCAGCTTCTTCTTATCACAAAGTTTTGGAAGAAAACAGGCAACTTCACAATCAAGTCCAAGACCTAAAAGGTGGGTTCTTACAGATATCATATATCTTATCAGTGTATAGAATTGTGGTTAATTCAGTTGTATCTTCTGTCTACAGGGACCATCAGAGTTTACTGTAGAGTAAGGCCCTTTCTTTCGAGGCAGTCTAACGTGCAGTCCACAGTTGACTACATTGGAGAAAACGGAAATATCATGATTGTCAATCCCCAGAAGCAGGGTAAAGAGGCTAGGAGGGTTTTCACTTTCAATAAGGTTTTCGGGACAAATGTCACACAACGTATGTCCTTTACACAACTTATCTTCTTTTGATTCAATATTGCTTTAATTTACTCAGGCCACCATTAGAATTCAACAAGTAAAATTTAAGCATGCAATAACTGTTTTAACGAAGATGAAGTTAGTAATTTTTTTTCATTGTTTCCAAATGATCATTTCTGTGAAGTATTAGAGTTCTGTCACTATCAGCAAATATTGCAAGAGCTCCAATTTCCTGATATATACTTCCTACGTTATAGCTGCAGGGTGTTGAATTTCTGACTACTTCTCATCATGTTCTTTTTAAACTTTTCAGAACAAATATATGCAGATACTCAACCATTGATCAGATCAGTCCTCGATGGTTATATTGTTTGTATATTTGCATATGGCCAGACTGGCTCGGGAAAGACATATACAATGGTAATGTGAAATCAATAGCAATTTTTGAATTGGTTGCTTGTTTAGGTTTTGTGACATTAGGCATTTTTATACTCAAACACTCCGCTTTTGGGATGCAAGATTAATGTTGGTTTCAGAATAAGGACGTTCATGTTCATCTCTGCATACTTATTAGTCTTAGAAGCAATATCTTTGTACAGCATTACACTCTTTTACTACTACATATTGAACTGTCTAAATTAGTTTTTAGAAGCAGGGCCTATATAGTGGCTGTGGAATTAGGCATTAATTTCATAATGATTTGAATATGAAATTATACAAGAATTACAAGAAATGATTTGTCTTCTCAGGAAAGGTTTTTCCAGATAAAAGGAATATCACACATATTTTCCATGTTTACAGAGCGGTCCAGACTTGACAACAAAGGAGTCATGGGGGGTGAACTATCGTTCATTGCAAGACTTGTTTAGCATTTCGAAGGAAAGAATGGATGCCATAGAATATGAGGTTGGAGTTCAAATGATTGAAATATACAACGAGCAAGTGAGAGATCTGCTGGTCATAGATGGGACTAATAGAAGATATCCTAATCAAATTCTGTTCCCTTTTCCTTTTTTATTTTGGCCGTTTTGATTGCATAACTTGTTTAGCCGCACTATGCATCTGTTTATTATTTATAGGTTGGACTAACCTTAATTATATACACATTAGATATTCGTAACAATTCTCAGCTAAATGGTCTCAATGTCCCTGATGCAAGTTTGGTCCCCGTTAAATGTACTCAAGATGTTCTTGAATTGATGAAACTTGGACAAAGTAATCGTGCTGTTGGTGCCACTGCTTTGAATGAGCGGAGTAGCAGATCTCATAGGTGATATTTTTTCTTCAGTCTGGGAGTTTAATTGTTTCTAAAACTTTATATCTATAATTATTATTTTTTAAATGATCCATGATTATATTTCTTTGCTGCAGCATTTTAACAGTTCATGTCCAAGGAAAAGATCTAGTCTCTGGATCCACATTGAAGGGTTGCCTTCACTTAGTAGATCTAGCTGGGAGCGAAAGAGTGGATAAATCTGAAGCTGTTGGTGAGAGGTTAAAAGAAGCTCAACATATTAACAGATCTCTGTCTGCACTTGGAGATGTCATTTCTGCTCTTGCCCAAAAGAGTTCTCACGTTCCTTACAGAAATAGCAAGCTGACTCAAGTGTTGCAAGATTCTTTAGGTAATAACTTATGCATCTACTTCGGAAAAAATAAGCTAAAAGCTTGTTTATTATACTCTACCAAGTACTATGTACCAAACACACACTCCATGGAATATATTGGAATATTTTCAATCTAAAAAGGATAGTTAACCTGGCTAAGCATATAATAAGCTATTTTGATCCAAAAGATTCAGATTGGTCGACTAGTTATAGAGTTCTCTAAAATTAGAAATAGAGAAAAACCCTCGTAAGTTTATTATAATGAGGTAAACTGCTATTTTATTCACTGTGCTGCTAAACATTATGTTCTTGTTTTTTGTCATCTTTTTCTTAGGGGGGCACGCAAAGACTTTGATGTTTGTGCATATAAACCCCGAGGTTAATGCTGTTGGGGAGACAATTAGCACATTAAAATTTGCGGAGAGAGTTGCCTCAATTGAGTTGGGGGCAGCACAATCTAACAAAGAAACTGGTGAAATCAGGGAATTCAAAGATGAGGTCTATTTTTCTTCATTTACTTGTTTAATTTGACATTGTGTTCATTCAATCACTTATAGTCTTCAATATGTCATGGTTCCTTTAGATTTCAAATCTTAAGCTAGCTCTGGAGAGAAAGGAGGCTGAACTGGAGCAATTGAAAAGTCGAGCAAACACCCGAGGCACTGTATCACCTCTTCATGTACAAAAATATAACAGCCATGCCACTTTAAAGCCTGAGACAAGTCAGCAACATGCCGATGCCACTCAAAACTCAGAGGTAACTAAAGGGGAAACGTATTAAGACTCAAAATTTAATAGGAATTTAGAAGATCATAACCATAAACCATTGAATTCAACATAAATTGCGATAGTTTTGAAGTTCAGAACAATTCAATAATTTCTCTCAGTTACCTCACATCAGACAATCATCAGAGAAACTAAAATTCCTAGTTTCATCTCATTCTTACTAAATTTCAGTTAAGAAGCTGTTCATCGGGTAAGCAGAGAAAATCTCGGCTTCCATCTAAGTTCACAGACAAGGATTTTGTGTCAAAAATGCCTTTCCTAGCTGAAGAGAGATCAGTGGCAACCGCTAAGCCAAGATCCCCGTCCCCTCCACCGAGGAGATCATTATCAACTGATAGAGGTTCCTTCATCAAAAGTAGAATCAAGTCTGATACACTTGAAAATCCACCCGTCATGAAACTACCATTTTCAGTCAGCACTTCAGTAGATAAATCCGTCTCCAACAAGCATGCTATTATCTCATCAACAGCAAAGGCACGTCTATATCAGGGTACTCGGGAACCCCCAAAGGCAGATGACATTACTGATGTATTGTGCAGCCTTCAGAGGATCACATCTCGGAAAGTTTACCCAGAAAATGAAGAAGGTCGATTTAAGCAAGAGTTTAATGTACAACAAGGTGGCATCAGAAAAGGCAAACCCGAAAATAAGGTCAAGACCAAACATCAGTTGTCTTCAAAAATTCAAAAGTCAGACGTTACAGAGACATTGCTTTCGGATGTGGATAATGGGAAAATGTCGGAGAAGACTCGAAAGATTGAATTTTCAGATCCCGAAAGTGAGCATGGTCCTGATAAGTTGCCTGTATATGGTACTACTCGAGTGAAAAAACTTCATTGGAACATCCCAAGGAAGTCTCAAAATGTTGAACCAAGGTACAGCAGCAATATTTACATACAAACTACACTCTGACGCAGTCCATATTGATTTTCTGAGACTGTGTTTATCCAAACTTCTTGTATTTTGGCAATCCTTTTAATGATGATTTACTTTATTTTTCAAGCAGAGAACCGACGAAGAAAGTGGAACCTTTCCTATCTGAAAACCGCGTCAATAAATTTTCCAATGAGAACGTAAAGGAAGCAGGCAAATCATTTGTGCCTGAAACCCGAAGGAGTCGATCTACACCTCGAGGAACATTCAAGATTTTACCTTGAGTAACTTAAGAGTACACGGTAACGAGATTTTTTGAATAGAGGCTTGTTGAAATCTTGGATCCCTGCTTGCATAGACTTCAAAATCAGGATATTGAAATGATTTCAGATGAATATCAGGGACCTGCAGTTTGCTTTCTTAACCAGCTTTACACATACATGCTGCTCCTATATCCTGAAGCTCTGATTTCTGTGACTGTCTTGTATTTATTGGTCAATCCAAGAAGATTTCTTGATGTGCATATGTAAGAAAATATGGTGGTATTTATTTATTTTTCGGTTAACCAAGAGTGTTAACTTATTGCTCCATTCCCTAATCCATGATTATGGAAATCAATTATTATGGAGGTTGTGAGGGGTGGTTAATCAACAATTTCTGTTTGTGACCTGAGAGTACATGGCATGAAGAATCCCCACCTTTCCGGTTTCATTATTTAGTGGGAACTAAAAATAGTGCACATGGTAAATGTCAAGCTGTTGTTTAGAGTATATTGTTTTTCACAATATGAAAATCTCAATTATCCTTTAATAAAATCAATTAGGGTCTCATATATATCTTAAAGAACATTTTATATGACAATAATGTTGAATTATGACCTGAATTTTGAAAAAAAAAAAAAAGATTAAAGTTATAATATTTTAAAAATCTTAAATTACAGTAGTTATGATTTTTTCTCATTACTAATTATAGAATGATGGTAATTCAGTATTGTATTGGGAATTTGGGAATCTACTTTTTGGCTTTTATGGTGGTTTGTGTTTTGCTTTGTTAATGGACACACCACATCTTTATATTTTGGGAACAATACGTAACTTCTACATATAAGAACCACGTTTCACAACTAACAAACTCCCTAAAATTTTCATAAATTAGATGGTAAATAATAATAATAAATTAAGGGAGTGTTTGACACTCATTTTAATGGGTTGAAAAATTTTGGAATAGTGAATGATGAGAGAATGTGTGGTGGAAAAGTGATGAAAAGTTTTAAATTTGTGTGTAATATTATTTTATTTGAAAATTGTGTGATTGAAATGAAAAAAGAGAATGGGTGCCAAACAGGCACCACTCCCCAAAAATTTTTCAAAAATTGAAAATTGAAAATTACAACCCCACCCAAAAAAAATTCCAAAAATTGAAAACTGGAGATTATACCCCCATCCCACGGAACAATCCTCCCCTAGAAAATTTTCAAGTCGATGACATGTGTCATCTATGACTAATTGTGACCAAATTTGTATTTATTGTGACTAACTGTAACCAAATTTATTTTCAATGAGTTTTCTGTGACCAAATCAATCTTAACCGTGACTGTATGTGATCGAGTTACAATCAATCACAATTAAAACAGAATTGGTCACAACTAGTCACTATAAACCAATGTTCTAAAATGCGTAATGCGTTGCGAGGCGTCGAAATCGAGAATCAAGAATCACAAGTTTAGGCGTGTCAATGCGAAGAATAAGCGCCATAATGCGTTTCATATTTTTAATATTATTTTAATTAGTTTTAAGGTATTAAATATATTTTTATATTAAAAAATACATTTTTTAATATATCATAAAAAAAAAATTTACCAAAAAAAAATTAGGGATTAGGCTGGGTAATGCGCATTATGCCGCCTTTTAAAACAGAAACACATTTTTCGCTCATACCCTGAATTCAACGCTTTTCCTTCCACGTCGTGCCTAGGCGCGCGTAGGCAGCGCATTTTCGCGCATTTTAGAACATGACTATAAACATTTGCTTGGTCGCAAAAGGTCACCTCAAACAAATTTGCACACACCACAATCCAGCACCAGTCACCACCATAATCACCTCAACTTAAATTCACGACCATAAATACTACATCCACTGACATGTGTTATCTGTGACTAACTATGGCCAACTTTGTCTTTAGTGTGATTATCTGTAGTCATGTCAGTCTAATTTGTAACTGTATGTAACCAAGTCTATCTTAACAACATTAAGAATCAAACACGCACCACAAACACCTTCAGCAAATCTCAACCAGTACCACCGACAACATAGGAGCACCACCACCACACGTAGATGGCACTGCTAGCAGTAACGTCACCTTTGAAGCCTCCAAACGCAGGTCAACCACTACCCAAGCTGTCGAACTCTACCACCAGCATGATCACCTCAATCTCCTCTACAAACCCCGACCAACATTCCGACTAAATACCGTCCCAAAATCAGGCGAAAAACCAGTAGTTGTAGACTGTTTTTTGGGCGGCACCACCTTCTCCATTGATGCCCATGCTGGCACGTCGGTTGACCAATACTCATCAAGGGGCATCTATTCATGGTTCAAACTGTTGTTATTATTCAATAATCATGCTAAGAACAGGAATCACATAATTAATTGACAGTCTGAAAATCATACCTGCGGGAGAATTGTTTTGTATGAATATTACCAGCTAGATCTTCTTCTCCTTACTATTCAAAATAATCAGCCGTCAATGGGACAAGTCAAAACCATATGGAGATGAGATGGGACCTAGCCATTATATATGAAATCATAATGTCGGCACATTACCGACTCTAACCCTAATTAGGGTTTACATAATTTCGACCTACATAATTAAAATTACCACATTATAATAATATAACCCGTAAGGTATACAACGGCTCATGTGATCACTAACATATTGAGCCTAATCATAATATCATTACAAACCATACATCTAACCCATAAATTCGTAAGCAAATGGAAGCCCATATAATAGAATTATGCTAACACAAACAACACACACATAATCCAAATTTACAAAATGGTCTTCGCACCCAAGAGAACACGCACATTTCAGTCTCAATTTTCGGCGCCAACATTGAGCCCCAGAGTTGCGAACCACTTTCTCTGGCATCCCCACGCCATGCCGCATCTATTGCTACCATGGGCTTCCATCAATTTGATCAGAAGATGGAGGGGGATGGATGGGGGTAGGTGTGTAGAGAGGGTGATAAAAGAGAGAAGATAGATGTGGACTTTTGTTGGTTTAAATATGTATTAATTAAATTAATAATTCTTAATTAGCACTTGACTTTTGAATTTAAAACTAATCATCTTTTGTTTATGAAAATTGATATTTAAATGTAGGTTTCTATGTAATTTTCCCTTATATTTGGCCATTTGGGTAAACGAGTATATGGGCGGGCTTCAGTTTTACTTGTGGCTTGATGGATAAAATTGGCCTTCTTTAGCCCCTATTGGTATAGTTAAACTATATTTTTTAAATAAAATTTATGAAATATGTAGTTAAAAATTTTATAAAAATTGTGAATCTCGTAAAATATATAATTAAAGTTAATTGTTAATTTAACTTGAATTAACAACTTTTTAATCTAAATCACACATGGGCTTAATATCGTGTTTCCAAGTGCCTCTTGCCATTTGGCGTGATTGAACTAGTTGGACTTGCTCTCCACTTGTCATACTATTTTTTAAGAATAATGTTATTTAGCACAATTTGTGTTTAACATCAATATATGTGGTAGCATTTGTGACATTAAATTGCAGGTTCAATTAAACCAGTGTTTGGTGGCCTTTGAACTTAAAAAACTATGTGTAAAATAGTATTTTTGGAGAATGTGCGGTTAAAAAGTAGAAAAAAATTGAGTTTACATGTAAAATATTTTAGTGTTTGAATGTGATTAAAAATGAATATGTGAAATAAATTAAAGTAAATTAAAGGCCATCGAACAATGGCTAAATGAATCACATAATTCTTAAACTTATCGTATAATGTTACATAAATTGATACTCTAATTTTATTCAATTTTTTGATCACACAAATGATGGGATGCACAAGCGCTTATAAGGGCATATCTGGGAGCACTTTCTTCCAATTTTCAGCAATTAATTGACCTTTTTACTGCAGAATGGAGCCCACTTTGACAGCAAAACCCAACATTGTAAAAATGAACTACCGAAGAAACCCATATCTCATGCAAAATGAATTAAATATTAGAGGAAATCACATAAAACTAGATTTTTAAATATTCAATTTCAAAAATTAGATTAAAGGTTTAACTTTTCAAAAATCAGACATTTTATTTTAAATATTAATTGTACAATTTTCATCACAAACCCTAATCAATTTCATTTTAATTTTCCCCTTCCTTCTATCTTCTCTTTCTTCATACTCTCTCTACTTTCTCTCATCTCCATCACGCTCCCTCATTTACTCTCCAGACTCCTTACTATCTGCCAAAAGTCAGCCTCCACGAGACCAGGTGTGAACGGCACATCGTAGCTATCCACGGTGTAAACGGCGCTGCACTCAACAACATCGCTGCTGCATTGCGTTGCAGCAACTATTGCTGTGCAATGAGCGCCACCACTGCGGCGGTGAATGATGGGGGATTTGGGGAAATCACGCTGTGTTGTAGCAGCTGTTGCTGTGCATGAGCGCCACCGCTGCGGCGGTGAATGATGGGGGATTTGGGGAAATTTTGGCTGCAATCTGGTGGTGTCTGAGTTTTTGTTGGTTGTATTTTGTTGGATCCAACGGTGGTGGAAGTTATGTTGAATATGCTGGTGGCTATGTTGGTGGTAGTGGATCTTGGTGGTGGTGGTGGTGGTGTTGGTTTTGGTCTGTGCACCATGTCCAGATCGTAGCTCCACAATCTGTAGGTTTTTTGGGTGTGTTTTTCGTTAGTGGTGGATGGGGTTGTGGTGGTCGGAGGTGATGGTGAGATGTTGTTGGCGATAGGTCTGTCGAGGTCGTGGTGGATGTGGCGCGACGATGTGGCGGTGTTTTTATGCGATGTGTTGATTTGTTTAAGATGGTGTTACTGTACAGAGGTGGTGGAGGTTCTAGCGTCGACGACGACAGTGCTGGTGCTGATGGGAGTGGTATTGTGGTAAGGTAGAGGTCACAAGTGCTGGTTGTTGTCACAGATTATTTGGTCGTTTGTGACCATTAAATTGATTAATATGTGATGGATAAATAATATTTGATCAATGAAAAAGATAAATTGTGACCAAAAAATAATATGTTACCTAAAAAATTGTTAATTTGTGACCGATAATTTGACAATTTGTGACTGTCTACTAAGTTGTGACTTATAATATTTGTGATTTGTGACCGATGAATAAGTTGTGATGTATAAATTTTTTTATTTGTGGTCGATGAACAAATTATGACTTATAAAATTTCTGATTTGTGACCGTAAAATAATTTGTGATTTATAAAATTTTTGATTTGTGATCGATGAGCAAATCGTAATATATAAAATTTTTGATTTGTGACCAATGAACAAATTGTCACATATAAAATTTTTGAATTGTGACCGATGAACAAATTGTCACATATAAAATTTTTGAATTGTTACCGTAAAATAATTTGTGACGTTTCAATTTTTTATTTGTGATCAATAAATAAATTGTGACCTATAAAATTTTTGAATCCCGACCTTAAAATAATTTGTCACGTGTAAAATTTGTGATTTGTGACAAATTAATAATATGTGACCAATTATATAGAATTTGTCACCAAATTATATGGAATTGTGATCTTAATATATTTAATTAATAAAACATATGTTTAATTAATTAATTTAAAAATATTTAAAATTTTAAATTTTAAACTTAAGTTCTTAAATTTGAAATTGATAAAACTAAACCTCTTAATGATGTATTGTTCCCAAAATATTAAGGGCAAAAACATCATTATGTCATAAAATGGTCCAATATTGCGGCTGCTATGTCAGTCTTCATTGAAAAATGATGAAAAACAACGGTCCAAATTTTACTTGGCAACGGTTGAGATTGCAATTTTTAGTACAATCAGACACGCACTAAATCTTGTTTGGAGTCTTTTTACACATTAACACCATTATCAAGTACAAAAGATGAGATGCCGTCTTTTCATCGATAATTTGCCCTACACTGCCACCGAAGAGGAATTGGAAGAACACTCGAGCAAAAACACTCGAGCAAATTCGGCTACCTCTCAAAGGTCCATATTATTGTTGATAAAGTTACAGAACGGTCCAAAAGCTAATGTCCTTTTCGCCCTTCCAAAATATTTTATTATTTAAATGTGTGGTGGAGATTGATTACTGTAAAAAATAATTTTTTGAAAAATGGTAGACAAACATGGGCTAAATCTTGTTTGAAGTCTTTTTACACATTAACACCATTATCAAGTACAAAAGATGAGATGCCGTCTTTTCATCGATAATCTGCCCTACACTGCCACCGTCACCGAAGAGGAATTGGAAGAACACTCGAGCAAATTCGGCTACCTCTCAAAGGTCCATATTATTGTTGATAAAGTTACAGAACGGTCCAAAAGGCATAGCTAATGTCCTTTTCGCCCTTCCAGAATCTGCTGCTAGGGCTTTGGAAGAGTTCGACAATTCAATTTTCCAATGTAGATTATTGCATGTCTTTCCTGCAAAAGAAAATAGACATGAGGAAATGAAGGCATCAGAGACTAGGGTTCAAACACATGAGCATGGAATATTGATGAAGATTTCAATTTTTAACCACATGTTTAGGCAATTTTTATCTATATTTTATATTTCATTATGAGTTTTTTAATTATCTTTTAGTTAGATTTTTGTAGGGCATGTTGGAGCCTCAATTTTCTGTGTAGAATGTATTTTAAAATTGTACATTAACGGAGAATATGTAGTTAAAAGAAAACGAAAACATTTTGGATTGTGCAATATTAAACAATATGAGGTAGAAAAGAAGATTGAGAAAAATATATTTTAAAAAAATGGAGATCGTACGAGGGTTTAGTAAATAAATTTGAAATTCAATTCTCTCCATTTTCTCAAAAATTTATTTTTTTCAAAATTCATTTACAATCATACATTCTTCCATAAAATAATATTACACATGGATTGAAAAGTTTTGCTTGCTTTTTAACTACACATTCACCAACATAATACTATTCAGATTTTAGTTATTGATTAAAATTATTTTTGAATTGAAATAAAATAGACTTGAAAGTTTTACAATCTCTTAAATTTTCATTATTTGATATTTAGAATCAACGAATTCAAATTCTCTTTATTTGTGCACGAATCCAGGAGGTTTTTGATATCTAAATTTTTGGTATTTTTAGGATTGTATTGCGTTATTCTTTTGGAATCAACTGAACTTCACTGCATTGGGAGAAACTCAAGTTATTGCCGAGACACGAAAGGCACTTTCAAATGCTGGAATTAATGTTGCATCATAGAGGAGTTTGATTCTGGGAAAACTGGTGGTTTGAAGAGAAGCAACTGTGTTATCTTGGAAAAGAACTTGCCATACTTTTCATCTGAAAGTGATCTAGCTGATATGTTTGAGAAATTTGGCAATTTGCCCATTCTACCTTCCTCGAAAACCTGTGCTCTTGTTATCTTCGTTGGAACAGCTGAAGCATGTTTTTTCGAGGTTTAGCATTCAAGCTATACAAGGATGCTCCTCAATATTTGCAATAGGCACTTGGCAATATTCTCAGTTGATGATTCGGATAGAAATGTTATTGGGGTGAACAGGATTCATGTAACACTCCGAATCTCTGTTCCCAAACCGTTATATAAGACATATTGTTCGCTTTGAGAGAGTCTTTGCCTACCTTACCTCTCACAGTTTTCTATCGCGTCCCCCACGATTCGAGATCTTCATTAGGAGCCTTAGCGTATCCTGAGATTGACATAAATTTCACTTTTTTTGCTCAAAAAATGATAGCTAGATCCCTCTTCACCTCCTTAAAGTACTGTTATAGAATTCTCTGTGTGTTTTAATGCAGTTACACGTGCCTATTCTTTCAGAACATTTCTTTTGAGTTTGAATTCAATTACAATTTCTTTGCAAAAAAAAAAAACAGATTATAATGTCTTTGCAAAAAAAATCCAATTACATAAATACAAGACTGACAAATCATTCATCTTCTACAATGGCATCACCATTCCTTGACTAGTACTACTAACCTGTACTGGCAGGACATGAAAAACATGCCATAACCCCTTCTATCCTTCTCCAAGATTGCACTCTTTACAAGCCCAGCTGGCTTACATACTACTGTTTTTGCTGCACTTCTTCACTCTGATACAGTGATACACCCTTTGCCAATCCACTAATTATTTCACTCTTCACAAGTATTAACAAGAAATATGAGCTCTTCTGAGAATCAGACTTAATATCAATCCCGCTCTACTGAATTATCCTTCGTAATGCACAATAAGCATTTCATGGACACCATAATTACATTGAATCATCAGTAAATGCAAAAGAGCAGCTAGTGGATCCTTGTGAAATCACATTCTTAGTAGGAAATGATTTGGGAGGAGCTGATAAATCTCCCTTCAAGGAGTCAGTGTCTGATCTTATGGGATCCACGTGCCTAATTTCTTCGAGCATAGCCACAACATCCTTCATTATTGGGCGATCATCAGCACGGATGCTGACACAGAGAAATGAAACAGCTAGTGTTTGCAGCATTTCATGCATCTGAGGGTCAGCTCTCCCTCTCAGCTTCGAGTCTAGAACATCAACTGGGTTGCCCTTACTATGTAAGTGGTCACGAACCCATTGAACCAAATGTGCACCCCCGGGCAATGTGGGGTCTAACGGATGCCTTCCCGTCAACACCTCTAGCAGGACCACACCAAAGCTATACACATCACTTTTTTCTGTGATGTGTTGCATAGAAGCATGTTCTGTAGATAAAAACACGAATGTTGTAAATAGCACCACAAATAAGTAAAACAAGTCGGGATAATAGACCTAAAATGAAGATCAAATATTTACCAGGAGCCATGTATCCATAAGAACCAGCTAGCTGAGGCCTTTGATTCTGCTTCGAAATATCAGTACAAATATCGTTGTTGATAAGCCTTGCCAGCCCAAAGTCTCCTAGGTAAGCTTCCATTCGGGGGCCTAACAGCACGTTCATGGATTTGACATCCCCGTGCATGATAGGGGGAACACAATCGTGGTGCAAATATGCAAGTGCATGTGCAACACCTAGGACAACATCATATTTAGTCTCCCATTCTGCTCCTCCCTTTCCAGCGGCATGAAGAAGTGAGCTTAAGCTCCCATTTGGAAGATAATCATAGAAAAGCAGTTTCATATTCTGATTCGAACCCCAACCCAGAAGGCGCACTATATTCTTGTGTCGGATTGATCCAAGTGTCCTAATTTCAGAACTGAAAGCGCCTGATTCTTCCGATGACCACATTTTTTTTACTGCTAGGTTCTCCCCGTTTGGAACTGTCACCCTATACACAACCCCGGAGCTTCCTGTGCCTATGACATTGGCTGATGTAAGATTTCGCACAATATCATCTATGGAGAAGTCCGTCTTCTGATAAAACGTCATTTCCCAATTGTCAACTTCAGTGGATCCACTGTGGACCAGATGGGTCCTAGTTATTATGTAAACTGCTAGTAGCACAAGCACTACACTGATGCTAACAAGGATTGACATTGCAAACTTCATCATGGATTTGGCATGCTCGCGAGGCCCCATGCTGTCAGCAGGAGTTTTTACTCCACCAGAGATGTATAGATCTTGATTTCCAGCCAGGTCATTCAGAGGCAGTTTGCGGAAGAAGGGCGTATTAGGCAATTCTCCGGAGAACTCATTGAATGACACGTTGAGGGTGACAAGATTTTGAAGGCTTTTAAGAATGTCTAGTTTCCCTGAGAGCTTGTTGTGGGAAAGGTCGATGATTCCTAGTTTATCGAGGCTTGAAAACTCTGTGGGGATCTCACCTGTAAGTTGGTTACAGCTGAGGTTGAGAGAGATTTCAAGAGATGGAAGCTGACCCAATTCTTTAGGTATATCACCCGACAAACGATTGTTTCCGAGATCTAGCAATTGTAGCTTGCTGCAGGAAAGGATCTCCGCTGGAATTCTGCCAGAAAGTTGATTTTTCCCAAGATTAAGTTTGGTTAATTCAGTTAGTGAACCAATACCAGGAGCTAATGAACCTGTTAGTCGATTGTCTGAAATGTCCACGAATTGCAGGCTTTTGGGAAGAGTATCAGGCACAGGACTGGTAAGTAAATTCGAATGGAGATCAAGAAACTCAAGGTTTTCACATTCAGATATTGAGGGAGGAATGCCTCCCATGAAGTGGTTGTTGCTCATATCGAGGAAATTTAAAATTTTCAAATTTCCAATTTCTGATGGAATAGTACCCCCCAGCCTATTCTTGCTCAACCTTAATCTATACAAATTTGTGCAATTTCCAATATTTGGCGGAATAAAACCCGACAATTCATTAAAAATTAACAGCAATTTAGTCAGATTCTTCAATTCAAATATCTGTTGTGGCACTGGACCAGAGAGGCTGTTGTAAGAGAGATCAAGAGCTTGGAGATTCTCACATTCGGATAAAGATTCAGGAATACTGCCAGTTAAATTATTCTGCCAGGCAAAAAACAGAGTCAAGCTCTTTAATTTGCCTATTTGAACAGGAATTTCTCCCGAAATTTCGTTGTTGTCAACTTCCAAATGATTCAGTGCTGTGCAATTTGATATCTCAGTAGGTATAGTACCTGATAATTGATTGACACTTAGCTGTAGCTCCTCAAGTTTCAAAAGACTTCCAAAACTTGTGGGGATGCTGCCTGTCAACAGATTCTCGGATAAATCTATGACTGTTACATCACTGCAGCTTCCGAGCTCATATGGAATTGTACCGACCATGCTGTTCTGCCACAATAACAGACTCTGAAGCCTTTTCAGTTTCCCCACTAGCACGGGGATTGAACCCGAGATGGAATTTTGATACAGAAAGATATTCTGCAAATCACTGCAATTGCCAATCTCTTCAGGAATGGGACCTGACAGTAGAGATGTGTAAATTGCTAGTGTTTGAAGCCTTTTCAGCATCCCTATTGATGATGGCAGTCTCCCAGAAATGCTGGTTTCAGCAAGGCCTACTATTACCAAATTAGTGCAATTTCCAATCTCCAAAGGCAGCTCACCCTTGAGATTTTGGTTCCCACCGGCTCTGAATATCTCGAGGTTGCTCAATTTTCCTATACTTCTCGGGATTTCACCATCGAGCTGATTGTCGTAGAGCGTAAGAGACTTGAGATTGGAAAGGTCGCCAATATCAGAAGGTATAATTCCCTTTAGCAAATTTGAATTGAGAGATAACGTTTTCAGCTTGTTTAGCATACAAAGTTCCACTGGAATCTCACCAGTGATAGAATTATCACTGATATCAATGAGAACCAGCTCGAGATAGTCCCCAAACTCTTTTGGGATAGTTCCTGTGAGATTTGTGGATGAGAGAATAAGGATATTCAAGAATTTGAGTTGTTGAAAGTTTGAAGGCAATGGACCTTGCAAGGCCACTGCCTTCAAACTTAACTCGGTCACGTCGCCTTTCGAGTTGCAGTGTATTCCAAACCAATTGCAAGGACTTTTGTCTGCAGAATTCCAAGATTTGAGGGCATTTGTGGAGATATTTAAACTGTTCTTCCATGTGAGAAGAGCTTGGCCTTGTGCATCAATGGAATGACAAGTTGAGAACAAAAGAGAGTTTATTGAAAGAAATAAGTTGAAGAAGAATAAGTTATTAGGAGGAGAAAATAAGTGATTTCTTAAGGGTGCAGGCATTGCTGCAGCAAGTAAAGAAGAGTTTGATCAGTGTTTTGGGATTGTTGAGGGGGGAACCCCATGTTTTGTTTATAGAGGAAAAGCAGAAGATCTGGATCCAAGAGCACTTGTATTTTTCTAGTATTATTGTAATTGAATATTGCTGTTAAATGAAAAATAGTTGATTCAGATGGACACTTTTGGTTTTATTTAAGAGTAATAGTATTCATCACTACTGATGTTAAACACCTGTCTATGTGACAATTACATGGTATTAAATGATAGATTCATTTAAATGAAATGTCAAATAACTCATTTAATTCAACCCATAAAGTGCAGTCACATAGACTGATGCTAGATAACATTATTCTTTATTTAAATATAAGAATTACAAATTATCCATTCAAGTTTTACAGCCTCCTTATTTCTGCTTGCTGTCAATGGATGGCCAGATTGGTTTTTGGACTTTTGCTTTTTGAATATGTATGTGTGTTCATCCCTCCTTTACATTATCACGCTTGTCTGAATAGATCAATCTTAAAATTTGAAGGCTTATTTTGAGTTGTATCAAATCAATTTGCTCGTTTGAACTTAATGGACTCTTATACCATAAAATAATGTAATTTATCTACACCGTCATTGTTGAACAGTCTAGAAGTCATTTAAGTAATGCTATTTAAGAAGCCCAATCGCTTAATGTCACTTAATTGGCATCAATCAACAATTTAGATAGAAAGCATTATTTAATACGATATCGAGACTTGTGTACCATTTTAAGCCCTTGTTTGGGATATATTTTTCAGAATTTGTTTTTCTTAAAATTCATTTTAAATCACATTTTTTCAAAATGATTATTTTCACGTTTTCCAACAAATTTTTCACACTTCTTGTCATACATTCTTAAAAAAAAATCATTTTTTCAGATGGAAAAATCTCTTCTAAACAAACGTTAAATATCAACCTTATTAGAAGAATGATCTAAACCACATCGGTTAGTATGTTTATGAATAATATTGTCCATGACACATTATAGATTCAATAAAAATGCACTATAATTTCATAAACAATATGATAGCAGACTCACTATCAAATATATTAATGCTTAATACAACTAAAGCTAAATAAAATTACTCTATTTTTACACTTAACCAATGTAAAATTATAGCTTTGTTCTTGGTGTATATATTGTTTAAATTCAAACCAAATTAATTATTTTTTATGTACCATAACTAGTAAAATAAATGCTAATAATTAGTGGCCTGGTGATGAGTAGTCAGCCAGATCATGCCATTTATAGATTTTTATTAATTAAATGGACCATCTAAGCAACTGCCTGATGAATGCTTTGCAATGGCAGAGGTGGAAATAGACCATTAATGGTTTAACTTGAATTGTGGATCATATTGGCCAATGGATTGGTGGGTTACCCTACCCACATGTTGGTTATGGGTACCATTTCAGCCACCTTTCAATTTATTACAAGGATAATCAATATTTAGCATCGACGTAGAAGAGATCGACGTATTTCAAGATCATCAAATGTTGAGATATACTAGTTGGTATCCTACGAATCAGAAAGAGACTTGACCGTCAATGATTGAGGGATATCTTAAAACTGATAAGCGTAATCAAATACAAGACAGTATGTCCAAAAGGATCATAGATTTGATACAATGTCAGCCAATCGTTTTGCCGTAGAAAATATACGGTCCTAAGGTTCGCGATTTTCTCTTGATTTTTAGACTATAATTGGTTGAGGTGATATGAAATTCTTTATTTATGTGTACATACAAAAGCTCATGCATAAAAATCTGTGAACTTTCTTCGAAGTTTTATAGAATGATATGTGCAGTACAATACCATGAAACCCCAGAAGTTAATTTTGAAAAATATCAATTAATTAAACTTTAAACATCATTAGGTTTTCACTTAGCATAAGTTAATATTGTATAGAAACAATCAAGAATGATCTATTTATTCTTAGAAGAACAATGATCATGCATTTTAATACATAAAATTACTCTAAAAGGAGATCTGATTTATTTTTTTAAATGAGGTTAGTGAGTGGGGAATCTAATGGAGTGGTTAATTGATTGCACATGAAAAAAAGTGATTAATTAAGCTGAAATTAGTGTTAAGTAATCTGCAAATCTGGTCAAGCTGTCGGGCAGCCTTGCTGTGAAGGATTAATATAATGGACATTGGCATTAGTGATTAGTGGAAGAAACAACGTTAAACTTGATTAAGAGTTTTTTATTATATTTAGGGGTTCTTTGACAAAACTTTCGATAAAAAATTTAAGCATATTTTGATAGAATTTTACAAAATATGTGATAGAATTTTACAAAATATGTGGTTGAAAGTTGATAAAAGTTTTAAATTCCATGAAATGTGGTTTAAATTAATCGTTCACTTTGACCTCGAAATTTTAGGGCTCGTTTGACAGAGTTTTTACTTCTTGTAGAAGAGTTTCCTAAAAAAATTATATTCGATCAAATTACTATAAAATCTCTTTTAGTCGAATAAAATATTTTTAAAAAATTATTCAAACATGTTCAAAAATACTTTCTTAATCTCGAAACGGCTTGACTTTTCTAAAACTCTATAAGCTATTCTTGATAAGCACTTAATTCACTAGTAATTAAAATAAATGTGCATAAAACAAAAGAAAAATGAATTTAAAAATTATAAGATAAATCGGTCCTTGTGCCATTGCACTTAAAATAATTAAGTACACGGGCTTAAATTAATTAATTGAGTTATAAAAAAAATAAACTAGACTTTTACCATTATTGATTTGTTAAGATTTAAGAAACATGCCAAATCATTAATCCCTAGGTTAATTCTCTGTGTGAGTTTGTAACAGAAGTGTTGTGTAGTGTAAATCTGAAGTGATAGAATTTTTTTTTTTTTAAGTTTAAATCTATTCGAGCAATGGATTAAGTCCCTGTTTGGTTTAGATATAAATTAAATTTTTTATTAAATTGGGATAAAATAAAATATGTAGTTGAATAATTATGGATCTCATGAAATATGTGGTTGAAAATGAGTTTAAAAAATGAAGGCTAAGTTTCGACTTCGAACGGGGAAAAAATAAAATTTAAATGAATGCCTATTTCTCCTATTTAATTTATTATAAGGAAAACAATAAAAATTATCTAGCTATAGGGTAAATAAAGTGCAGAAGAGTCAATTTTTCTTTAAAGTTACCAATCATTTGAATCCAAACTATCACATCGATTTTAATATAAATCATTAAATGAATATTATTATATATATTTATGGTCACCTTTTAATCTTGTGATTGTCATGAGGTGAAATGGGTTACGTGCGTCTCCAAAGCACCACAATCAGGTCAAGTGACTCACATTCTGCTTTAAGCTAATGTTTGATTAAAGAAATGATGAACTACGTGGTTGAAAAATTGTGAATTCTTTGAAATATTTGATTAAAATTAATTCTTTACTTTGATTTATTTTTTTTATAAAAAATTTAAGTTACACCAAACAAGGATTAATTGTGTATCTATAATAGAGATGGCAAACGGGCCGAGCGGCTCGTCGACTTGGCCGCTCGGCTCATGAAAACCCGAGCCCGAGCCGTAATTGAGCTCGTGAAAAATTAAAGAAAAATTTTAAAAAATTCAAAAAGCTCGTGCTCGTGGCTCGGCTCGTGGGCCAAGGCAAGCTCGCCCACAAGCTAGCTCGGCACGTGCCGAGCTCATGGGTTTAAGGAAAAAAATTTAAATTTACGTTTAGAATATTTTATTACGCGAATGTTTGGTTGAAAATGATTTTATAGCAAAAATAGTTTTTAAACAATCAACACCAAACAAGGTCTAAGTCTACGAGATTTTCCTTTTTCTATATTGACCAAAAAAAAATGTACTTTTAGGCTTATATGCCCAATGATTACTTTACGATTGCCCGTTACCATTAGACGCGGAGTCAGAGGAACAAAAAAATTTTACATTGGACTCGTACATAAAAAAAAATCACAGAGACAAAATTTAGCCCAGAATTGTCCCTCGCTCCGCCCCCGGTGGTATCATAGGAAAGAACAACGAAGAGGTGAAAAAGAAATGAATTTGTCAGTCTAACTCAAAAGAAATAATGAGACCACAACGACATTAAAACAAGAGACAGAGACACGAACTTAAAAACAAAAAAGGAGAAAAAAAAATCGCATGATTTCGAAATGGTCCTTTCATTAATCAGATATAGAAAAAAGGGTCCCTTCTCCACCCATAATTGTACTCTTTACAGTTTACCCTTATAAACGAACCTTTCCTTCTTTTTTTTATTTGTATGTTTTAATGAACAAGCTACATTTGTTGCATAGTGGTGAACTTTGTACTAGGATGGTGTGACGTCGGAATTGACGTTCTTGAGCAGACTAAAAGGGATTCACGAGCTTGGGAAGAATAAAAAACTCGCAGCATTGTTGGTAGCATTGTTAGACGAATCAAAATACACGAATATAAAGTTATGTTCTCTTTGTCGTTTTGAGTCATTAGCGATTTGTCACTAATTCATATCATTTGTACATCTTTTTTTATTGTGTGTCTAGATATGTTCGGAGTAGTTGTATTTCTTGATTGTTGTTCGGCCCGGGTATACTTGATTTACTTGTACATGATTTTTGATCCATATATTTCACATTTACCGATAAAAAAACTCATTGCATTATAAGAAAAACTTTAGAAGAAGGTCATCTATGCACACATGATAGGATTTTCCATTTAAATGACAACATTTTCATACTAGAGCCATTCATATCGCCTCAATGTTCGAGGTGGTACGAGAGAGAAACAAAGTGGATGTGTAACGTTAAAGTATCACGATTTGAGGGCTCGAAATATGATATATAGTGATTTGAATGAATGATCTTACTATGTGTGCACATACAATTGTCTTACTGTAGTTAAATTATGAGATATTAATCGGATATTTTAAATCTATGCGATTTGCAATAAATTTTTGAACCTAGATGTCTAGAACCTCATATTAACAACACATTTC